AATTTTTTACCAGTTTGAAAATGTCTTCTCCTTTTTATTCTTAAAGGTGCCCATACGTGTTTGCATAGCACTTGACGAGAGCCAGAGCAAAATTAATAGTCTGTAAAGACTTTGGGATTTGGGAGAAAATTTCCAATTCTTAAGAGGGTAAGGTGAGTAACAAAAATTTAAAATAACGCTGCTCCAGAGAAAAGTATTTCTATGCATTTTGAAAAGCGCTGGATAATTACCTAAAACTGACATCCTTTGTGGAAATAAGCAACCGCACTGGCGTTGCATAAATTATGATACAAGGGAAATGTGTAGTAATGAGGAAGACAACGTGCTTTAGTATTTGAAAGAATTTGGGTTCATACAGGGGATCTTATGGGCTCTTAGCCATCTCTCAATGTGTCAGATCGTCTTTTGCTATTCAATCCTGATTGTCCACGGGGGTAGTTGTCCTCGGGGCGTAATTGTCATCGGGGGGAATTGTCCTCGGGAGGTAGTTGTCATCGGGGGTAGTTGTCATCGGGGGTAATTGTCCTCGGGGGGGGGGGTAATTCTCCTTGGGGGTAGTTGTCCTCTGGGGGTAATAGTCCTCGAGGGGTAATTGTCCTCGGGGGGTAATTCTCCGGGGGGTAATTGTCCTAGGGGGTAATTGTCCTCGGGGGTAGTTGTCCTCGGGGGGGGGGGGATTGTCCTCGGAAGGGAAGTTGTCCTCGGGGGTAATTCTCCGGGGGGTAATTTCCCAGGGTATAATTGTCCTTGGGGGGTAGTTGTCCTCGGGGATAATTCTCCGGGGGGTAATATTCCAGAGGTAATTGTCCTTTGGGGGTAGTTTTCCGGGGGTAGTTTTGCGGGGGGTGATTGCCCAGGGGGTAATTGTCCTATAACCATATTTTGAAACATGTAATGTGTACTTACACGTTAACATGTAAAGTTGTGATTGAATTTACTTGGTACTTGGTTGGGTAATCCCTGTGGCAGCTCACTCAGGAAGCTATACTGGGATGGTAGGTGAGGCGAGTAACTACAAGGGGTGTCATGAATTGCTGAAATGGTGTGTGGACAAAGCACTTGTCAATTTACAGTAAAATATGCTGAGTCCAGTGCAAGTAAAAACCAAGCTAGTAAGCTTATTCAATGTGAGAACCAACAGGGGGATGCATCATTCTGATGGAGGGTAGAGCAGCCTCCTTGAAGTTGGTTATTCCTGTTGCATTGACTGCTGAGCCTGGCAGATGGTTTCAGATCCTTATTGTTCTTGGGTAGTATGAGAACTTGAAGGAGTCTATAGTTGCAACAGGAATTACATACTTCAGGTTGTGGTCGTGTCTTCCGAAGTATGTGGCAGGGATAACAATAGTTGGTGCAGGTATGGAGACAAGACGGTGATGGATCTTGTAGAGAAGGGTGCATTGGTCGAGGATTCGACGTGTGTGAAGCGTGTCCCACCCTAGAGCTGCCACAAGAGCTGATGGTGACGTGGTGTACCTGTAGTCACGGTACACAAAGCGAGCCGCTGTTCTTTGTACTAGCTCTAGCATTTTAGTGACCGTGACGCTGTGTGGGTTCCAAGCCTCCGAGGCATACTCCAGTTGGGGGCGCACTAAGGCTGTGTAGGCCCTGGACTTTACATCCCTGGTACAGGGTGAGAGAGTCCTGCGGAGAAGACCTAGAGTACGGCTTGCTTTATTCCGGATGGATTGGCAGTGCTTGTTCCAACGAAGATCAGCAGCAACCGTTACTCCAAGGTACTTGTACTCTTTTACTCTCGGGATCAGTCCATTTGACAGGTTATATTCTGCGATGCTGGGAGTACGCTTCCGTGTGATGGTGAGGATAGCGCACTTTTTCACGTTGAAGTCCATCATCCAGTTTGAAGACCACCTGGACAGCTGTTGGAGATCATCCTTTAGGATTTGATGGTCCTCAGGGCGTCGAATCTCACGATAGAGGGTGCTGTCATCTGCGAAGAGACGCATTGTGGACCGGATGTTGTCTTGGTTATCGTTGATGTACAACAGGAACAGGGTAGGGCCGATGACGGATCCCTGGGGGACTCCAGATGTTACATCCCTCCATGTTGATTTGGATCCATCAACTACGACTGCCTGTTGTCTATCAGTGAGGAGAGACATTATCCACTGGAGTGAGTCACCACGTATTCCATAGTACTGAAGTTTGGTTGACAGGAGAAGGTGTGGTACTCGATCAAAAGCCTTCTTGAAGTCCAAGAAGATTATATCAGCTTGGCTACGCTGCTGAAGGATGGAGGACCAGCCGTGGACGGCTGTTGTCAATTGAGTGGTTGTTGACAACCCTCGTCGGAAGCCATGCTGTGCATCAGTGAGGATATTATTCACTGCAACATGCTTCGACACATGGCTCAGGATGATGTGTTCCATGACTTTGCAGCAAACGCAGGTAAGTGAGATCGGTCTGTAGTTGGAGGGGTCACACTTTTCTCCCAACTTGTGTATAGGGGTAACCAGTGCTTGTTTCCATTGGGCTGGAGCGATGCCACTGTTGTAGCTTTGTTGAAACAGGAAGGACAGTGGAGAAGCAATCTCGCGAGCTACCAGCTTTAGGAGCTTGGGTCCAGTTGTTGGAGGCGTTTCTCGACACATTCTCAACCAGGGCGGGATTTGACGTCACAACTAGATCGAGGATGTTGTTGGATAAAGGTCGGGTGACTTCCCTGACTGTTTGGGACAAGGAATTGTGCAATAGGATATCCAACAGCTTCTGGTGACAAGTAGAAGTGGCAGGATTTGTAGTCGACTGGTCATCCCAGTTGATGTCAGGATGATTAAAGTCGCCGGCTATCAAGATGTTAGGGTGGCTGCGTCGGTGCCTTATCATAATCTTGGACAATGACTGGTGCAAGCCTTCAAGACCTTGTTGTCTGTTGTTGGGGGGGGGGCAGTAGTAGCTACCAATATACAGTGGCTTGGCATTTGCAAGTTGCACGTTGCACCACTGTATCTCACAGTCCGAGTCAAACTCTGGACATTCAGTGACAATTAGCGTGTCGATGATTGCTATGAAAACACCACCTCCATGGATGTTTCTGTCCTTACGATAGATGGAGTAATTGCTTGGGAAGATTGAGTATGATGATAAGCTATCATCCAGTTTTGATTCACAACCAAAAACAAAATCAGGAGTGTGGTGAGCAATAGCTGCGTGGAAGCTTGATTTCTTAGCATTCCCCTTCAGACCATTGCAGTTTACAACCATCACTTTAAATGCCTTTTTGCGATTTCTTGATGGAGGGTGAAATCGTGGTTGACGACATCCTCCAGGGCTCGATGTAGGCGTAGAGGTTAGAGGGTTGATGGAGGGAAGGGTTTCTTCATCACTGGATTCGTGGTGAAGGGGTGAGAAACGATTGGACTGTGAGAGGTTAAGTCCTTGCAACGAGCTGCTTGACCCTATGTTGGTAGAAGAACACTGGCAGCACACCCAAGCGAAGCTCCTGGACTTCTTCGTCAAGATATCATAGGAGTCTGGGGGAGATACCGACACATGAAATGTGGCACCAGCAGTCGCAGTGATCGCATAGAGCAGGGTCATTGTCTCTCACTTCATCCCCACAGATGGCACATGGAAATGTCTCAGGAGCACTAGTCGATGGACCAGGGTTGGTTTCAACTTGTCCGCTGAGGAGAAGTAGGATGGTTAGGTGGCTCAAAGATGTCGACCTGAAGACAAGTGGACAAAGCTTTGTATTTCGATTCCACTTGTTGCAGGATGATATGAAAAGTAACAGTTTGCAGTTATCAATATCTGCAGTGTAAGTACGCCTTCTAAGGGGTGGCTGGTGTAGTGATCTTGGTTCACAAAGCGTTGCGTGTAGATCAAAGAAGGGTAAAGCTGGTCTCTGGTCTGCAATCTGTGTACAGGTTTCCACTCTTCAATAGTTTAAGTGCACACACTATTGAAAGTAATGCTAGAAGGAGTGGATGTGATCTAGAAGAAGAGGGTGGTAAGAAGTAATTCTTCATTATGGCGTTTGCAAGTCAAGCGGTGATGATTTACCAGTGAACAAATTTGGCAAGACAGTATTCAATATTCAATACATATTCAGAAGACAAGGAGAGAAGTCAGAAAAGCTCAGCAGTCTCACTCACTCACTCACTCAGCTAGCACCCATGATATGTAGGCTAGCTAGTAGTAGTAGTAGTAGTAGTAGTAGACGGTTAGCTAAATCATCTGGTAAATGAGTTAAATCCCAGTGAGTAATTGCTTCTATATCATAAGAATAATATAAGCATAATTCAGTCAGAAAATATACATTACAGTTATTGCAGGTAGGTGTAGTGTAGGTATGAAGAAGGCTGGGCAAAATAAGCAAACTCAGGATCCTCCATATGGGACTACAGGTGTGAGTTCAAATTCCTTGGCAGAAAATGGCTGTAAAACTATCACAATATTCTACCTCCAGAAGGTATCAAAGAACAAAATAATCATATCAAAAGCTTGAAGATATGTTCAAGATGCAAAATCAGGTAAATAAAATACACGATCTGCAGTTAAAAGTGCAAGATTAAGTGGATTTTATATCACCAAGACCAGACCATGTCTGCCCCCTGTAGCCATCACCTCACCTGGCATGAATTGAAAGGAGGCCAACGTTTTAGCATTTTACCCTTTAAAAATGTTCAACTGCAGGGCCTCTATAATTTGTTTCTCTTTTTCGTGTACTGATAAATCCGTTCATTTTTTCTTGGAGAGTTGTTGTTTGTCCTTTAAATTCTTTCCCTACGAGATGAATAACTAATAACTTCATATTTTCATTTCTACTAAAGCACGTTCGTGTTTCACAACATGTGTCGATCATTGTTTATTATTACTACCTATAGTTCATTCGCATGGTATGTTAAAGAACAGTAACCTGAACTACTCTTCATAGTGATGAAAGATCTTCCTCAGTCATTGGCATTCTGTGACCAGTGCTAAATGTTAACAATTATACATGTTTCACATTGGATTTATGCTAAACATGTCTGTACCTTGTACTTGGTGTGTCATCCGTCACAGGTTCAGTCGTCTCTTCGGTTTTCATCCTCTTTGCCTTTGGTTCCGAGTCTGAGGAGAAATATCAACATATAAATAGAGATACATGTGTGAGGAATAATCAAAAATACGGGTTACGAAGTATGGCAGCTCAAGATTTGCCTTGGGCAAGATTAAGTCATGTATGAAAATTCCTGACAAATTTGAATTTTGAGAGACTCTGTTAACTCTCACTATGCCGGTCACATATATGTGACAAACAAATAAGGTATTTTGAGACACACATTACTTCACCAAGAAAAATATATGTAGTAGTCAATTTATATCACTGCTAAGATCATAAGTCAAGTATTCTAGATACTTTTGGAGAAATTTGCAAAAAATGTACAGGACCTTGAACAATAGTAAAGGTATAAGAAATGATTCCCGTTTGGGGTATGAGAGGTCCAAGGCGATATGGTTTTCGTGTTTTTATGTCACTAAGTTACCGTCCCAAAGGAGAAGGCATCCCTTAGCAATGGAAATAACCGTTTTGGCTCACATCAAAGTGCCCACTTTAGAGCGCTATAACTTTTTGTTACAAAAGCAACGAACTTGGAATTTTGATAGGTTATTAGACCATGTGTCTGGGCAGTAATCTTCATAATATATTAAAGATGGAGAAATCGAAATTTTGGCGCAATTCATATTATTGGAAAAGTTTAATAAAAAATCACATTTTTTGCTCAAAATTGTTACGCAAATCATCACTAAACCTATTTAATGAGGTATTATCGTTTGCAAAACTTCACTCTCTTTCATATGACATCTCACACATGGTCAAATGGGGTTCTGTTATTAAAGTAATCTTCAGAACTGTGCAATAGGAGTTATACATGGCGGCCATTTTAAATAAATGGCCGCCATTTCTTCCCAGCAGCATATGTTCATGGTAGTACACCTATCAATTATGTAGGGAGGTGCCCTACACACGGTAATACCCAACGACCGTTTAAAACATCCCATGTCCCAAAACCCCCCAAAATTGTAATTTAGTCTGTAATTTAGGTGTATTGCATATTTTTGTGCCTTCTTGATAAACAACATTATCAGTAAGGATTCATTGATGCCATCGTGGTGGACGCATATGTACAAGGAAAATAGGTGTAAATTACCCTTTGGTCCAATTTTCATGTGGTCTAACATAATTTCGTCCGACAATATTTTTTCCAGCAAACATTTTGTCCTATAATCATTAATCATTTGTTTAAGCGTCATGCGCTTTACACAGAAACAACTCTTATCACGTTTTTTTCCTTTCTTTCTTTTTCTCTCTCTGTTATTGTGTGTCGGGCGGGTGCGTGTATTAGGTATAGCGCACCCAAAATAAGTACAACACACACATGCTATTTGATGATTGCAAATGATCAAGCTTTATGAAAGCTTCAAAAACAAAAAACAGAATTGATATCGGTCAATGCGTTGTGATTTTATCCCATTTTTTTGAAATCGCAAAATTACCGAAAAACCTGCCAAAAATTGTCAAATTGGCAAAATTGGCAAAATTCGAAAAGTTGACAACTTAATTCGTCACTTTCTCGGACACAAATAATAAATTAAATTATCAGACACTTACAATATCATCTTTGTGGTAAAAAATACAAAAAAAGAAAATTTATATATCCATTACCGTTTTGAAAACAGAAGCCAACAAAATAAGTCATTTTTGTCATTTTTGCGAATCTGCAGATATGAAAAAGTTGTGAAAATAACTAAGTCCGCCTAATTAATATGCGCATATGTAATCAAATCAAAACCGAACATGATACATCTGTGAAACCTATGTATATCAGACTGGTATGGAAATATTAATTTGAAGAAAAAAAAATCATGATTATTCATCGAATATGGAAATTAGGTCATTTCAGCTAATTATATATAGGAAAGTCAAACTGTTCATTTTGTTGGCATTTTTAAAATCATATATTTATAGATCATATTTACACCAAATATTAACATTAAATTCCTAATATTTTGGCAATGCCAATAAAATATGGCGATGGAAATTACTTTGATCACCGTCACAGCTATTTCCTCATGTGTTATACAAATTATTGAGAAAAAACGATCAAATAATAAGAATATGCAGACGTTCAGCTACATCACAGTATATTTTTCTTTTAAAAAAATGTCAGATTTGAGGATTTATGACGATTTTCCGAGAAGCAATTCAACAGACCACCACAGGGACTGAATTTCAGAGTGAAAAAAAGTTTGGTGACCCCAGTACAGTTGTAGCTACCTTGAATGTACACAACAAATTGATTTAGTGAGTGAAACACATGAGGATATTGCATTTTTTGTAGGGGAGTTTTATACATTTTCACCACGCAGAATTGCAGCGCGAGTCAATGGGCGATCAGCGGGCCATGTCACACAATGGCTGAAAAGACAATATTCTAATCAAATAATTTAACATATTTCCCACATGCCTATAACAATGAAACTACAAAGAATTGTAGTGAAAGGTATGCTTGAAATATATGTGAAATAAATATTTGAAAATATTGTTTAGTTTTTTTTAAATAAATTTACAAAAATTGCTATTTCTACCAACTGACTGCTGTTGTGTGTGTGTGTTCGCGGGGCAGACTGTGTGCACAGGCAGTGTGATCACCCTACTAGTATGAGCAAATTATTTGAGTGCCCCCCCCCCCCCCACCGGGATTATTCTTTGAGTCCAATATCCATTAGGTCCTATACTTCCAAATTGCAATTTGTTTTTTATACAGTAGATGCACATTGAACATTGCAAATCTCCAACAAAGTTTGTATCTAAATCTGTATTTGTTGACAAATTTGCAGGAAGGGATTACCACACGGATCAGGGCTGTGTTTCATAAAAACTTGTTTTCAATAACAAGCTACAATAACTGTTAACAGCTACTGAAATCAAAGCATTTGATTGGCTGAGAGCAAGATTGTCAGAAAACTAAATATTTGTTATTGATAACAAGTTTTATGAATTCGGGTCAATTATTTATTGTTAGAAAATGCTGACTGTTTGGCATGACCTACACCTCCCCCATTTCTAGATACACTATCAGAATCAGAAAGAACAAAGACAGTTCATCCGAATATAATGAGAGAATACTGTGGAACTATGTAGAAACTAATGTTCCTTCTTGGTAAACGAAAAATAAAAGATCCAAGACTAATCTGTAATTAATACATAAGCCTAAGATCCAAGACTAATCATTAATTAAGACATAAGCCTAATGTTAATGGACAAAACTGGTAAATGAACCAATTGGCAGTTATACATAATAAACGTTATTGCCGAATGATGATTGGACCATATGGGAATCAGACGAAATGACAGTTAGACCGGAAAAAAAATAGTCTAAATGAAAATATAGACAAACGAGAATATACTGCTTGGACAAAATTTGGTTTGGAGCACTTGATATTAAACAAAAAGGTAATTAAAGGGAGAGTGGAGTTGTGTTTCGCTACACACTATATTGTTTTGGCGAGACAATGAAAAATTGAGTTTTAATTTTGGAAGAACATATAATTTAAATGACAAAATAATTTTTGTTTGATCAAAATCGGTTCAGAGACGGCTGAAATATCCATAAATATAACCATTTCTAATATTTGTGGGGCACCACAAATAGTCGATAATTTCGAACCAGCCGTTGAGAAAATGAGCTTTTTCGTGTTGGTTATAAGCACAACCAGCCATAACGTGTATTGTTGTTATCAATTAATTAATCAATTAACGGTCACCGTGTTTTTTTTAAGTGGAGGGGATTTGGTTCGATCGTATTTAATCTAAATTCACACATGTTGGGGTCTAAAATCACCTTCGAAGCAATTTTAGGTCTTAAAAGGGCACTAGAAATGTCACAAAAGAGGATAAGAGCAATAACCATGCACTTTGAAGGCATTTACAGTCTTAAACAAGAACTCAACTATCCTTTTAAACCAAATGTTTATTGTACTAACAGGGAAGAAATATAGATTGTATATAGTGGTCATGTTACCAATTTGTTACAGACAAGTGGCTATTGGCCATGCCGCCGGGTAAGTTGACTGGCATGATAATCGGCTGAAACGTAGATTGCCCATGTATAGAGGGTATATATAGGGTTTACTCATGTTAACTGGCTGTAGACTAAATGAAGTGGGATGAAATGTTTATTTGACCAAGTGGCATTGGACCAAACGGCAATATATAATTTATTTTGTATACAGTTCGTTCAGGGATAGGAACAGGAAAATCTGGAAAATCCGGATCAGCAATCTGGGTTAGTCGGGGTAAACAGTTCATTAGTAAAAGATTGAAGAAGAAAAAAATGACATCGTATACATTTATATGTAGAAATTTACATATACCTTTAAAAAAAGGTCAAGGATAAAAACAACTTAAAAGTAAAAGTATTACAACAGGTATGTCCCTATACAGTTCTTTCCCTATAAATACATCACTTTGTTTACATGAAATAGTGATTCCGGTTAAAATGCGAATCATACCTTCAGGTGATGCTTCTTTCCTCTGTGTTCGTTTACTCATGAGGTACTGAACTACTTCAAGATGACCATTACCTGATGCAAGGATATAAGCCGTCATACCAGATTTAGAAGGCTTATCAACCTGTGCTCCTTGACCAACGAGGTACTCAACTACATCAAGATGACCATTGCGTGATGCACAGTGAAGAGGTGTCTGACCATCATTATCACCTCTCTCGACCTGTGCTCCTTGACCAACGAGGTACTCAACTACGTCAAGATGACCTGCACCTGATGCAGAGAGAAGAGCCGTCGTACCACGTTTAGCAGGCTTATCAATCTGTGCTCCTTTACCAATGAAAAACTTAACTACATCAAGATGATCATTGCGTGATGCAAGGTGAAGAGGTGTCTCACCCAGAATATCACAAGTTTCAATTTGTGCTCCCTGACCAACGAGGTACTCAACTACGTCAAGTTGACCATTGTATGATGCAGCAAGAAGTGGAGTCGTACCATTATCATCACCTCTCTCAACCTGTGCTCCTTGACCAATGAGATACTTAAGTACGTCAAGATGTCCATTTAAGGCTGCCGAGATTAGAGCTTTAAAGTCATCAGAATGCTCATCTGCTGTTCTTTCAGTCATGTTTTGATATGTCTGTGGGCTCAATAATTGTCAAACAAATTGTATGGATATTCCTTCGTTCTAGACGCAATATTTCGAGTTTGTCAAAGGATGGTGAAAGTCACCTGTGCGTTCTGTGAATCGTTCTTGGAAGAGACTAAATACATCAGTGAAGTAACCCACTCTACAACTTGAGAGGCATATATCTTTCTCTGTTACCCTGCAGTTTAAACTTTTCGTAGCTCACTAACGAGTATGCATTGGAAAATACGGCAGAGAAATTATTTTAATTTGATAAACTATTAATTGCGAGCATAATTCAAATGTTATAATGAAAGAATCCGTCAGTCCTGGCGCTGTCGGTGCAAGTTAATTTGATATCCCCACTTCATTGGTCTGATTTCCTTCACATAAGCCAACGTGCTCCGGACCATCCAAATATAACATCAAAGGTCTGCTGTTTCTAAATTCAATGGTAGATTATCCATTCGGTTCACAAATCCGTGGCTAAAATTGTTCCACAATTGAACGCTAGAAGTTTTTCTTTAAATTTAGCTCCTTGTTTTTTATCCGAAAAATTTAACTTGTGTTTGATGGTACATTACTCAAAGGTATGAACTAAATAACTCATTTGTGTGTGCTTACAGTTTCCGGATCAAACTAACCGATTGAACAGTCATGACGAAAATGGCGGATCCTTTTGTGAGAAACGGGCGTTGTTTTGTAGCACGTCATCGTGATAGTACGTCACCGTGACCTGACCTCAGCTTTGCTGCAATGTAAAAGCGAGAAAATGCATGGTTGACTAATTAGAATGAATCGAAACCAAATAGTCGCAGCGTTATTTACTGACATAATTTCTATTGATCTTACACACTTGATCGCATACAATTTTTTTCATTTTCCCATAATGCGTCAATATAAATACGAACTGAAATCGCGTCAAACTTTGTGTATTAGTTCGAAGAACGCATAAATAGATGTATCATTTATAATGATTATTATTCAATCATCAGTAAATATGACTGTTTGTACCATTTTAATATCTAGTCACAGAATCTTTCCTGAAATCTGCCTCCAAAATAACTGTTCTTATTTCTTGGATTCGCAAGAAAATCACCACAAAGGACAATTTTATAAAAGTTGTTTTGGCATTTACTTAAGCGCATTTGTCTACATCTCTCGATGTAGGCTATAGCCCAGGAGACCAGTATTTTTGTTTCTATCTTCCCCTATGTATTTTTTCTTTCATCAGTCTAAAGGGCTATCGGCGTTTTATATCATCGGCCTCGTGGACCTTTTGATACTTTCTCCATTTCTATATGTTCTCATGCATTTTTTTTTTTTTTTTTTTGTCGGTCTCGATCGTATCAAGAGCGGATTCGCGGTCTTGTCAATATTGGTCTTTTGAAGCTTGTGTCATTGTAGGTCCCTGGGGCTGTCGCTCTAGTGGACCGTTAGTTATGTATATGTAGTGATATGACTACACGTGCTGTACACATATGCAAATATGCACATACATGTACATGTATCCACTGCTTTCTTGAATGTGTGTATGCACATATGCACATATCCACTGCACCTTGTGGAAGCCATGACTTAAACAATGGTAAACATTTCAATGAGCATGCATGGGTAATTGGGCATGAATATGTTAATAAATGTACATGGGCAGTGTATGCAGAGAAGGTATGCTGGTCATATTGGTATGTTAGTAGAGAGTCACATGTTTTGATGGGCTCTGAGAAAGGAGGTGTTTAGAGACAATATAAGACTCCATGTTGGATTTGGGTGTGTCCCTTGCAGGACAAACAGTTCATGGATATTGAGAGAGCAAGAAAATAGTTGTTTAAGTCTGAACCAATAAAGATGGAGCCAAATGGAATCATTACAATTGAATCCTGCGTCCGTATTGCTTGGCTCGTTACATGTAAATTGTGTTAATGTCCTAGTCGTGGGCTTTCGGACAAGTAGGAAGACCTGAACTGACCGAGGCGATCCTGCGACCACCCGCTGCACCCGGGGTCGGCCTTTAGGGTAGTGTTTACTGTTGTCGGTGGTTTAAAAACAAACTTACATTACATAGAGTAGGAATAAAATGAACAAATGCTTTCTGATACACAGTTTTAGATATTTTTACTTTGACACAAAGCTTTATTTCCTCCCTGGATGTACGTATCAGCCCCCATCCCTCCTTAGTTCTCAACCGGGTCAATTTGACACAATTTACATCAACATTTACGTCAAAATTGCTGCTGGATGCCTGTCAAAATTGCGTCCTAACATTTGAACTACACCTCATATACACCCTGGCTTATATACAGCTTCACCAGTCAAACGTTTGAGTAAATTTTTGATTTTGTTTGGCTTGCTTTCAATTCCACGTGTATTCCCCAAGCAACGAACCCGTATTTGCACTCTAAGATTTGCTTCAAGAATGAGAACACAAATGAGAACACAAAAGTGGCATAAATCTTATTTCCGAGGAGGGCGTGGGGTGGGGGAGGGGGCGTCTATGGAGGAGGGAATAGGGACTTCGATATTTGCACGTTGACATAGTGGACTGCTACGTGTGATGTCCTTTTAAGGCATTGGCAGTGCCTTAAAAGGACGTCAAACATAGCAGTCCACTATGCCGTCCTTCAAATCTAAAAGCCCATAATAATCGTAATCAGGCGCCGAGACTTCTCGCACAAACAACTACACAAGCACACACACACAGCCAAAGCTATACGTTGATGCATAGTTTGCATGCACAATCCATTGTGCAACGGTGTAAGCACCCTAAGTTTTCATATACATGTACTTATGCGCACACTGGCACACATCATGAATTCGTACATATCCTCCATTATCTGTACCTGTTTTCATACTTCATTCTTAACTCCGAAAGAATATTAAACACAAATCAATCAGTCCATTAGTTTGTAACATAAAAACTGAGTATTTTCATTCTGCTGACTCATGGACTTCGAAATATGTAAACATTTTCATGTCAAGCCTCCATTAATTGAATAATTATAATGTCGAGAAAAAAAAATGACAATACAGATATAATGATTATGACGATGATTAGTGATAGAGTAGATCCATGTATTGATGCACCTATTTGCATGAAGGTATTCGCGGAAAACACGATTGTAATTGACATAGATTTGAGATTTTTGATGAAAAACAACAATTAATTTGTAGGAGCTTCTTAACATATTTATACTATTTTTGTAGAGGGTTTTCATTAGCGATTAGAGCTAGTTTTTTTAATTTTGTCACAATTCTCAACAGCTCATGATTTTCCAGATGTTAAAATAAGGTAAAACCTACCCATTACGTTTCAATGTATTATATTATTTAAAATGTTTGTATTGCACATTTCAAAAAGTCGTGTGTACTCCAAATAGCAAGTAATCTGGATTTATTTTGTATTTCTCTTTGTTTTCCATGGGGGGGGGGGGATATTGAAGAAGAAAAAATTACACATTCAAGATATTTCAGTATGCGACAGCTTGGTTAATAACTTGCAAAGTGGTATATATCCCATTAATCATTTTCATAACAATGTCTATATATCCCAGTGGCGAATCCAGGATGAGTTTTGGGGGTGGAGGGGGTATAAGTCTAAATATCAAGCAAGCGAAACAAATAAAACATACAATAAAAAGGTCATGAACTCAAAGATTTGTTTCCCCGTTCTCTTATTTTCTGGTTGCGGGGGCGGGGGGCTAGAAGTAGGTGCTCCTTGGTCCCTGGATCAGCCACTAGTGTTCATGCATAACGATGAAGAGATTTATTTGTGTTAACCTGCTATTCAACTCACCCTACAAATGCTCCCCTGGGTTAAAGTCCAGAGTAAAAGCCAGACGATCGTATTATAGCAAGTAGTGTCTACATTCTACATAAATTACTCCAACAGGTAAACGTGGTCCCCCTTTTGAAATCATTGGTTCCAGTGTGAAATCTCAATTTGGCGGGTCAAATGTGCCCAAAGTACGAAATCGTAATAATCATAGGGGAAAACGTTTTTTGGGGGCTGAAAATGTTTGTTTGGTGTAGAAAACCTACTATGAACAATAAAATGAAACAGACCATATAGACCCGTTGCTCCAACAAGGGCCCTAAGAACCAACTACTCACGACCGTCGAGAGGACTGCTTGAAACCTTACTATGTTTGGTGGTGTTGGTTATTTTACCTGCTAAGAAAGTATAATTGCTTGTAAGTAAGCAACCAGAGGATCGACGGCTTTAGGTCCTCTCCGAAGGACCTGGTAACGAGGATTAATGCCTTACCAAAAGGCACTAGCGCATTGCCTTGGTTTCGAACCCTGGTCACCGGATTACGAGACAACTGCTCTACCGACTGAGCTATCGCGCCTCCTCTGGGACCACAGTAAATACATTTCGATTACAGCTTTGATAACCGACTATGTATTAGGTACAACAAACCTGTTTATAAGGACCCACGTTTAAAATTGGTGATTTAAGTTCATGAAACCAAAGTGTGAGATTGATATTTTGTTTCTTCTAAAGACATTTTGAAGTGGGTTTTAGTAAATATACTTGTCAATTCAACCGATATTACATAACTTTGGGGCACCTGAGCCCCCCCCCCCCACCCCCCCCCCCCCCCCCCCCCCCCCCCCCCTGGAGCTCTGAAGCTATTCATAACGTACCATTAATAAAATGTACGGGAAATCATCTATTTCACTGATTGAAATATTGAAACATATGCCATATGTTGTGTTGAATTCATTGATGAGAGTCATGGAAATACACTTTATTCCAAATGTTTAAGGTCTCTCTTCATGATTATATCGCAAATCTGGGTCCATCGAAGTGTTCTTTGCCTTTTCCTGACTAATCTTTTATTCACTATTCTTTTATCTCCTTTTTTCATTTTGTGTTTGTTTCCTTTTTTTCTTCAAATAATAGTGCACAACATAAAAAGAACAACAAACTACGTTTCTTGTAACAGTAATGTTTTTCGTAGATCTAAGTAGATAATAATCAAACATTAAAAGCTTAACAATTCACTTCTTATGAACCTTAAGGGGAGAAAATTCAAATATGTCTATTTTTCAACTTCCAGGAGCAAATAATGGAATAATGGCAAACATCCGAGTGATGGCTATTTAAAAGGAATATTAAAATCAGTGGTTTCAAAAGGAGTTTGTTTGCCAAGCACAAAACATGGAATGGTAAATAGCAGTGGAGGATAGCAGGATTCTCAAAACGGGGGGGGGGGGGCGAGAGGGGGAGCAAAGCAAAAGCGAAGTATGCGCAATATAACGCCATTGCATTTCTGGGTGAGGTCCAGGGGCAGAGCCCCCAGACGTTCTAGAGTTTTAGCCGTCCAAAACCTTGAAGGTAGCCGTCTTGAGCGATAGAAAATTTAGTTGCGAATGACGTCAAACATAACTTAGGTGTTACATGTATAAGAATACTGACAACAGACTGATCTTTTTGTGTAATGAATGGACAGGGAGAAATGAGACAAACTATGAGATTTTTAATCAACTCCACAAGAGGGCGACATGTTACTTTAATTACTTAATTGACATTGGAAACTCCTTGCGATGCTGTTATTAAACAATTAGCTAGGCCGATAT